TAAACCACTGCGTGAATGATGTCGTAGTTCTTTCGTGTTTTAATGTCACAAGGTGTCAAACACTGGAAACCAAGCTTGTACTCATTCCTTAATCTGAGCACAAAGTCAATGATAGTTGTTAATAAACAATGTATCCTTCCAATAGAAACTTAGTAACGGAATATATTTCCGATTCCGTTTTATGTTTTGGAGGATCCTTGTGCAACACTGAGACAGTTTTTGTAGAAATTGGACAGTAGTAGAAAGTTGCCTTTTCTATTCTACCTTTTTTTTCTTTATCTTAAACGAGTAAATCAACGTTCACCCTTCTATGAATCTCGCATATCCGGTCAAGCATACCCCATAAAATTTCAACTTTCAGTTACTCCTCTGAAAAACAGACGAACAGTCTATAGCCTGTCTCAAAACCTTACTACTGGGACCTCTGTTTCTACATGAGCTAAAGGTTATACAACTGGTACCACAGTCAATAATAACTAACCCAGTGCTCATGTTGAGTGTCAACTGTATAGGAGACTCACGGCAGTGGCCATAACAGACATATCATCGCCATCGCGACCTGATTAACTCTCGAACGCGAGTTATGGTAAGTGCGAGTGTGCTCTGACGTTTAAGACGATATGCGTGGGCTGCATTTCCACAACAATTTTTATCTAAAAAACCTTCAAAATTAATCGTATTTGCTGTAAAAGGGGAACATCGAAGCTTATTAAAACAAATAAATTAAGAGAAAAAGATTTGCTTTTAACTGACATCATAACGCTAGCAACCCTACGCACATACCCCTCTCTTCCTCAAAACCACCCTAAAACACAACCAAACTAAATGAAGACTCCAGGAAAAATAATGCTCGAAGCTAACCCTGAAGTTACTACTTCGCGATGGCGACTTAATTAGTTGTTCTTAGTGGTTTTAACGAGGCGATCGCGATAGATGATTGAATACGAATTTTAAAAGAAGCAGTCTCTTTGAAATAGGGAAAGTTTCAATTTATGCAAGTAGGCAACAGCTGACGAAACTTGCTTCCCAACATCAAGCTAACTACAGCTTTGAATCGTGAAAGTGTTAGAGCTTTCGTCATCATTGAATGGCAATTCCTCTAAACTTCGCCCCTTGATAAGTTCCGAGACCAGGTAAATGGAGTTTTTCAGATATGAAACGGCCATAATTTGCACAATATGCCGTGAATTCGTACTTCCGTTTCCATGACTGTCTGAAGACACTTGGTGTTTCGTATTTTTAACATGCTTCACTGCAACTTCGGTTCCGACCCACACGCCCCTGTACACGACACCAAAGGAACCTCGGCCAAGCTCATCTTTCGCTGAAAGTTAATTTCTTCCTTTTCCACAACAGGCAGTGGGGTGACGTTCGCCTTGGCGGACGAGACACGCAGAGGTCCCAAATCACTTAAATTGTAAACCAAAACTAGCTCCGACGTTGTCTTTTTTTCCCCGCAGTGCACCTCGATATGGTAATCCACTTACATCATCCATGTTGGTACACAACAACAAAGAATGAAATTTGGAAGATTGATACCCAGGGTCTGGAGTCCGAAGTCTGAAGTCTGAAGAAGTCTCAATTCTCAAGTCTCAAGTCTAAATTCTGAAGAAGTCTGAATTCTGAAGTCTGAAGTCTGAAGTCTGACGGAATTCTGAATTCTGAAGTCTGAAAGTCCGAAGTCCCTTCTCGGCTTTCATACATATGTCATTGGACATTTTACCAAAAAAGACGTTTATAACTTCATAACCTGACCCAATTTAAAGCCTCAAAGAACCTTATTGTGCAAAAAATCTCGTAAATAATACAAATGCATGGATATTAAAATACCAGAGCTGAGCTACTGCTTACAACAACTAAATGCTGTCATACGTAGGCTAGCAAAATTTGTTTTAAAAAGTGACCAAAGGAAAAAATTGGGCAGGAAATGTAGCTTTCAATTAAAAAGAAATTCGTCTAAAATGAATTGAAAGTAAGTTTTTTTTCTAACTGTTATACTGGAGATCATTCCTAAGTAATGTAGAGGGTCATAGCCAAGTATAGTACCCGAATAACTAAAACCTCTGTGTTTGATTTAGTTCGATCAGATCGCCGAACACAATCGCACTCAGTCGAAGGATTGTTTTAAAAGAAATTCGTCTAAAATCGATTGATAAATAATGAGTTCGTTCGTTCTGTTACGCCGGAGATCATTGAAGAGGGTCATAGCCGAGAAAAGTACTCGAATAACATTGAAATGGTTCGAATCTATCAATTTTGATTGGCAACGCGAGGAACGAATATCACTTTCAGAATTGGTCACGATCAATTAGTGAGGATATATTAAAACAAACGTTGCACAATTCTAACTTCGTTCTTGTGACACATCATCTCGTCTGCAGCTGAAGAAATGTAAAATGGTTCCCGTGTTTACATAGCCTGATGTAAACTTTTACAGTGTAGTATGGTGTTAAACTCCTTTCAATACAAAGAAAAAGGACGGTAAAGAGTATTGAAAAACTTGTGCAGTTCATCCAAAACGTCTTTCCAGGTAACGTAATATTATTAATAGCTGGCATATCTTGCGTTGCTAAAATAATGAATTCACTTTCCTCTTGTAACTGCATTGTAACAGACAAATCAAACTTTCGAGACTTCGGTTGCTTCTCGCAACTTCGCTCCATATCATGATATGATAGACGACAACGAGGGGCTTTTCTTTAAAATAGATCTTGAATATGTCATTCTTTAGTCTGTCCACCGCTGTATGTTTTGTTTCAGTCAACTAAGTGAGAAACCCAAAGTGAGCGCGCGATGGTCTGTAATAAAACAGAAGTCCGTGAACTTATTAGTCGGGCTTCTGATAATTAATACTATGAGAGTCGCACGAACATATGAAACATGTTTTTAAATCCAGGGATATGTCATACACCGCTTTCAATTCTATTTTTTTGTTATATCTAGTTAACTACGAAAGAAGCAAGTCAGTGAGTGAATTTTTACATTCTCGGTTGCGCTAAAGGCCATTCTCTGCAAGCGAAACTGCATGGGTTAAAAACCCTGAGGCTCTATTGCCATCACAAGTATCGCTTGCATTACCACATTTTCATCTTTCTCTGAACCTCTATCAACACTAGTTGCACTCTTCGTGACGTTTTGTTTCAGACCATTTCTGCACTTGTGATAACATTTGATCTCAAGCGAGCAATTTTCCTCGCAAGAAGAGTGGCACATCTTTAAATTCGAAAGGGAAACAACATGGCTTCCCCATAATCGTGGTCCAGATTACGCAGAAAATTTTATGAATGCGCATTAAATCATATTTTTAACTCGTGAATTGCGCGCATGCGCAAGAGCGAGTTATAGATATGATGTGGGGAATGACATTCGCTCGCTCGCTCGCTCGATCGCTCGCTCGATTGGTCGATTCCTGTAAACTTTTTTTAGATTTTAGGCTTTTGAGTGCATTTGATAGTTTTTGGCGAGCAATAAACAGATGAAATGGCGACCTTTGCTGCTAAGAATAGTGGTGGGGTGAAAAAGAAGCCGATGATAATTTTAAAAGAGTTTTTTTTTTTCGTTTTAGTTTCAACAAGCGGCACCAGCGACTGGCAGGCATGCAAGGATTCGCACTGAAATAACAGAACAACCTTCGTTTTTCATAAAATTGTAATTTACAATCCTTGAACTTGAACACAATACGAAGATTCATTGAAAATATCCCTTACTGCGAAGCGCTTGGAGTTTACAGATGTTCAAAAGCTTCTTCTGTTATAGCGTGAGATTGAGGACAAAATTGATCGTTTCGTCGCGTGTGTTTTTCCTGTCTGAAGCAACAAAAGATGCCGGCGACTAACTAAATAACAAGTTAACACGAAAATCAAATAACAACTAAACAAACAATTTTAGCTACCGATTTTCAGTGAATTTTTAAAGAACAATTTTCTTATAAGTTTCAAGACAATTTGAAGATTCAACATACATACAACGTACTAAAATGCGAAAGTTACACACCACAAAATTGATAAATAGGCCTGAAATGAAATTCTATCTTGTTATTGATTATACGTTGCCTAGCACGTGACTTAAATCTACCCAGGCGGAGATCCAAAATGACGGTGGCAGGCTTGGCTTAGTTATATCACTCAAAACTCGTTCCCGTTTGTCTCATTTGATAAAAAGGGAATCGTTAATGTTTTCATTAAGACAGTATTGCCTTGAATTCCTTATATTTACAACGAAAGACAGTAAATTTCACTTTTCACCCACATTTACTTCCAACCTTTTCTTTTGAACCAGAAACAAAAATGATAGACGTTTAAAACACATGACATCATCCACCTTGTCAAATGTAATAGCATGATCATTTCAATTGTAATGCCTTCTTATCCCAACGTTACTTTGTTTCTTTGCTACATTAGCGAACACTGAACTACTGTTCGTACTCTAGATATGACAATCAACCACAAAATTCCCTAAACCAGATAACATTAAACATAGTCTAAAAAATCATGTGTCAATTCACGAGTTTGCTCACAGAGCACTTTGATTTTTTTAAGCAATTTCTTCTTTTATGCGCAGCAACTTCATCATTGCAGCAAATGTTTACAATTGCGACAACTTTTATTTTCGCAGCAACTTTTTTAATTTGCAGAAAGGTTTTCGTTAATTTGTAGCGCCTAAAAAACGGCCACAAGTTTCAAGCAGAGGCGGATCCAGGGGAGGGGTTGAGGGGGTTGCAACCCCCCCTTTGAGCAGCTTTTTTTGTTATTGTTATTTTGCTTGATTCTTCCTAAAAATAATAGAATAAAATTGTTTTTACGAAGTTATTTCACTTTTACCATTCGACTGCTTGTCAAGTTATGAAAAGATAATGTACATTTCGCAAAGGTCGTATCAGGTTCAGGTATATTAAAACAGGCAACATGAACAGGTGACATTCATTGAAAAGTAAACGAGGGGGGATTGAGACCGACCGAATGCTTGAGTATCGTTGAACTGAGTACAACGTTTGACGGAAAATGAAGAAAATAACAGACTTTTATGCAAAGAAATCAGGTAAGTTCGTGGTTCTTTTTCAAAAGAAGTAGTTTAATTTAATTCTATAACACCAAAAACTGTTTTCAACAGCCAGCATCCTCGACATACCGTGTAATTTATAAACAAAGTGCATGCGTTTTCCATCACGCCGCCATCTTGCCAACTGGCTGGCGAGATAATCATTCCTTTCAAATATAAACATTTTGCAGATTCAGCGACTGACGAATCAAGGTCTGAAGAATCTGCGAGTATTAATGAAGGCATTAACGAAGGTAAGCAGAAATAAAATTGTCATTAAACCGAGGCAGATACATTAAAATTTATCATGATATTAAGACTTAATTAATACTTCTCTAAATGAACTGTCATGATAAATACAGAAAGAAGCTGTTCTGCTCCTCCGAACAAGCTGCCAAAACTCAGCAACCCAGACGATCAAGCTGGAGTGTCCGGGATCGAAGGTAGAAAATTCTAATTTTTTTTTTTTATCTGAATGTTAAACTTATATTGACCAGTCCGAGAAAAAAGGTATTTATTCAAATGATGCAAGAAGTCTGGAGAATTCCAAGTAAAAATTGACTAGTATTAATTTCGTTTTGTACACAGCTTTGCCTGATGAGGTATTGGTCGAGGTGTTTGAAAACTTCTCCCTTAAAGAAATGCTTAAAACATTGTGCCTGGTCTTACGAAGGTGGAGGCACATTGTAAACAATAACAACATTCTGTGGAGTTGCCTCCTTCTTGATGAGTGGCACATAACATATTTAAGTGTAGAACAATTTATGAACATCATGTCACACTCCAGTGGGTTCAGATATTTATCCATAAGATATATCGAAATGACAACATCCGAAATGAGGCTGGAAGCATTACTAGGAAATAGTATAGAATTTTCTAAACATTTGAGATATTTGGATTTAAGTGGACAACCGATATCATCCCTTAACTTCCTATTGATTGAGTCCTCTCCTCTTGAAACCTTGATCCTTAATGACTGTCAAAAAATAGATACCTGTTGTTGTACTGCTATTTTAAAGCAATTAAGAAATCTTAGAATATTATCGCTCAACCGAGTAGGATTCACTGCCAATCAAGTGGCAACAATTACTGCCTCTTTATGCTTATTGAATGTTCTGTGCCTGGTTGGTTTAAGCCTTGCGAGGGAAGACATAAGACTGATTTTGCAAAAATTGAATCACCTTCAGTTTTTTGAAATATCTTGCAGTTCTGAAGATAAAGAACATATCTATGCTCTAGGGGAAGAATATGACGTTAGTTTTGTTTGCCGCTAAGAGTAAAAATATGTTATATAACGCGGTGGCATAACAGTGTTGTGTTATAGAAAATAGTTTATTATAACATTTACTGAAGGTCTAACCAAGACATTTTGTATCAGCAGGCTATGGTACTATCCAGAATGATGTCATTCACGTGTATGCTTCAAAAATTAAGGAAAGGCTGACAAAAGACCTAAGGACCAAGGACCTTCCTTTCACGATTATAGCAGATGAGTGTACAGATCCACACTCAAACCAGGAAATCTTATCTTTATGCTTGAGGTTTGTGGACCAGTCAACGCCAAACGATCCTCATGTTAAAGAATGCCTAATTAGTTTCATGCACTTGGAACGAACAAATGCCGCCATGATTTCAAGAAAGATTTTGGAATCTCTTTCTGACCCATCTATTTCTTTGGATCCTAGCAACATCCGTGGTCAGGCATATGATGGAGCCTCCGTTATGTCAAGTGGAAAGGAAGGAGTGCAGGCGAAGATAAAAGAGACCAGTCCGTTAGCTCTTTACACGCATTGCTATGCTCACTGCCTGAACCTCTCCATCGCAGCAACATGCAAACTGCCAGAAGTGAGAAATTTGATAGGCCTGATTAACGAGGCATATCTATTTTTAAATAACAGCCCAAAGCGGCAGCAGCTGTTCGAGTTGACACTGAAAGAATACCTGCCTGAGAATTCTCACAGCAAGCTTCCAGGTCTTTGCAAGACACGCTGGGTGGAAAGACACACATGCCTAGATGTTTTCCTGGAAATGTATGAGCTCCTTGTCACCTTTCTAGATGCAGTTATTTCCCCCCACGAGTACCCACATTTGAAATCGTCTACTGGAAGCTGGAATTGGGACAAAGATACTATCACAAAAGCCCAGGGACTGAAAGCCTCTTTGTTGACATTCCAGACTGTAGTGGTTTTCATTACAACCAAGAATATTCTTGATGAAGTTAAAGCTCTTGCATCAAAGCTGCGGAAACAAGATCAAGATATTTTTGAAGCTTACACGATGGTTGACGAAGTAATTGGAAACATCAAGTCTGCTAGAAAAAACATTGACGTTGACTTTCAAGTCTGGTACAAAGAAATGTTAGACCTTTCTGGGAAACTAGGAATCGTTGAAGCTGTACCCAGAAAGACTAGCATACAGAGGAATCGCTCAAACATTCCCAGTTCTACTCCAATTGACCATTACAAAAAATCTGTGGTTATTCCCCTTCTTGATTCCCTGATTATTCAAATGCAAGACCGATTTTCTGGCGAGGATCGCCACGCCCGTCACTTGCTTTATCTAGTACCCTCAATCATAGTTAATAACTCCCAGGAGCTATCTGAAGCAGCAAAAGGCATGTTGTTCTGGGAGAATGACCTTCCATTTCCCAAATCCCTTGGAAATGAGCTGCGACGATGGCAAACTATGTGGCAGTCAGCAGAGAAGGAACTTCCAAACAATCTTCTATTAGCACTTGGTGCGTGTGACGAGGATACTTTTCCAAACATCCATCGTCTTCTTCTAATTGCATGCACCCTACCAATCAGTAGTGCGGAAGCTGAGCGGTCCTTTTCACTCATGAAACGGATCAAGACCTGCACCAGATCAACGATGTCTGAAGAGCGCTTCTCAGATCTCGCCGTGATCGCCATGCATTACCCGGAGAGATTCGAAGTAGACGAGATCTGCGAGGCTTTTGTAAAAGCTCACCCTAGAAGACTATTTCAGGCTACGTTGTTTGATTGAGGTACGTTGAGGTTCAAATAACTATTGTTGATACTGCCGTCCCTTTCAATCATGCATCATTATTTTTGGGTTTCTGAATGAGAAATAAAGTAAATTACAGATTTTATATCATGCCTTTACAACGCTTTTTAAGTCTCAGGAATTCTGCTAATGGCATTTTAGAGGGAAAAATCGTAAACATTATGTTTTGGGGGGAGGGGTATGGCTCCCGACCCACTCAAGAGATCGCGCCAGAGGCAGGGGCCGTCACTCGCCTTCCACACCATTGGTGTTCAAGGTTACTTCAGTAGTGTACAACCCCCCCTTTCAGAAATTCCTGGATCCGCCCCTGTCTTTATATTATTTTATAAACTGATTGTAGAAAATAAGATAAAGAATCATACAAGGAAAATCAACACGTTTCAGAAAATTATGGATGACAGAAAGAAAACATATTTCTTTCCAGTCTCATTAACATAGATTAACTATATACACACTGTAATCAATTTAATAAAATTCATCGAGCTAAGGAGTACGAAGTGCAAAATTTTCCTCTTTATCTATGTTTGTGTGAGTCTCAAAACCATTTTCGCTGGACTTGCCTTTAATTCTTATTAAAGTCTCTCGTTTCTTCTCTCAAATTCACCTGCATTGCGTTTGTTTGACATGAATTACCAAAGACGATCTATAATTATAATATGCCTTTGCACCTAACGTGACGTGCGACACTTTCAAGGAATTAATAATGACATTTTATTGTCCAAGACACATTACTCCAGTCAATCCGTACTAATTTAAATTCTTCACCGCGTATTATTCGACCAATTTAGCTTTTTGTGCAAAGAGCCCAAACAGGAAGTGGGAAGTTCATTTCTAATATTAATTTTCATCTTGGCTTGAAACCAACAGTTTCTATCGTAACCATAGCTACCAGACTAATAAAAGAAAACGCGTTTGGCTAAATAAGTCTAGTGTTGGGCACCAAAGAACGTTGGATCTTGAAAGGTAGGAGATGACTGTACTTAATGCATGATAAACTTGAGTTTGACTTTCACCCCATGATAAGATTTGATATTCAGCCTTAACTCCTATTTCTGTGTAGTTGAAATAAAACGAAAATGAAATTTACCGAGTTTCCAAATGTGGGTATCAAAAACACTTGGCGAGAAAATATCTCCAGCTGCTTGAAAGAAACAAGATCATTACCCTTAAATTTTATTTTCTTGAACAAAACATTTACTATGTTAAATAATAGGGAGTTTTTAATCCAAAAGGTTTTGGTTTAAAAACGTACAACTTAACGTCTAAGTATCTGCTTTTCCTAGCGTTTTTCGCCGTCAATTGGACCTAAAAGAATTAATCGGAATTTTTTTCAATGTTGGTCAAAGGACTAATTTCGGTGTCTAATACGTATGTTAACATGTGAAGATATTCCTAAGAGACCCACATCTCTCCATCGAGCGAAGCGGATAACATCCATTTGCGCCATTTGCATTAATTTCCACATGGAACTGACAGCTGCAAGCATTTTTTTAAAATTTATTTTCATAAAAAGGTTTTGTTCATAACGACAGGTCGATTTGGGAAGCTTAATCCATTGCTTGGAGCTAGCGATCAACTTAAAACTTGTGTCATACGCGCGTGGTATAAACAGAAAACCTGGACTGCATTGTTGACTAACTTCACTTTTGGAAAAGGTGAGTCGCAGACGGCGAATCATTTTTTTATCCTTCGATTCACTTATGAGTACAACTTCATTTATATATCTCTCCTATTCTATTTTACTGATACAAAAAGAATTAAAGTTACAACAACTAGCAAAGACTAAGTCAAAATCCGACATTCAACATCTACCCATGATTGGAACTCATTTTTGAAAAATTAAAGGGTATTTAACGGAAGTTTTTTTAGCGTTTCTTATTCAAAAAATTGGATTTTAGATGCAAAATGACTAAAAACTTCGGCAAATACGAATTACTTCATTTAAAATAGTTACATTCCCATCTCTCCTCTCTCAATAACATTTAAGCATGACACTATGTTATGTTCAATTTTCCCGCGTTTTACTAGGCGGAAATTTGATCTTTCTGCATCGTACGGAAGCACATTTTAACCGCTCTCAATCATATCTGAAAAATTATTTTTACAAGAGAACAGTACTGACATATGGCAAAGAATAGTTGCAATTTTTTGTTGTATATTCGTCCATAAACATAGCTTATCTATCAAAAGTTAAAATCGCGTATTGTGCAAGTCTAAGAGAAAGTTATTAGCACAAACATGTTCAATGATTAGTTTAAAGGTATTCACCTCAATAGAAGGTGGCATCTGTCGACCGTTAAATTGCCGATTATTTCGATATTTCTGGTTTGGGAAATATAGAGTTTGACATTTTTTAATCTAAGTTTACTATTTCCGGGAAAAAGTCGAATTGTCCACTGTATACTGAATTTATTCATACATCACCCCATGTATGAATCTGTTGCGTGATGCCAGAAAAAAGATGGCTTGTCTCAATTGAAATTAGCATAAATTTCCTCTTTCTATGATAATCGGTCTAAATAACCAAAGGCGATCGTGTAAACTCAAGTAGGAAAAATCTGAATTTTCAAGGACTTGTATAATGAAGGAAGAGAAAAAGGTTTATAAAGAAGAATAAAGTTTTTTTTTATGACTTATCGATCATGAAATAGAAAAGGAACTTGAGAAAAATTTGCGTATAGCTTTTATTAATGGCTTTTGGTCTCTTCCCTAAAATAATATCGAAAATGCTCTCTACAAAAGACAAGTGATGCTCGATGCTACCAATTTTTGTTCTTGTTTCAACTTTTTTTTTTTTTTTTACCGTTTTTGAGAGGGAGAGGGCTGGAGCTATTTATCTAGGGCCTTTTTATACAAAAAGTTAGGAATTTAAAATATAACAGCGGTAACAGCGACATCAACAAAAACAATTAAAAACTTTACTCAAATTTGTCTTGTCCCAAGCATTTTATGTGTTAACCTCCTTTATCTCAGCTGAAATCATGAGGAAATATCTGAGCGCGGAATTGAGACATAAAATTATCCTAAATTCCTGTTATCAGATAGGCAAAAATCCGCAAATGAAGGCAGTATTAATTTTCCTCCATTTTCCCTGGGCTGGTTAAGTTACGCGGAAATTATAATTTTTCTTTTTTTTTTTTTTTTTTTTTTTTTTTTACAAGACAGCACACCAAAAGTATAGGTTATAAGGAAAAAAGGATCTAGCAACCGTTTCCTCATAGACTCCTGTCCTTAAAAAGACCGTAAAAAATGAAATAGAGGCAATGCATAATTCAAGGCACGAATAAAATTTATTGGATGTCTTACCACCTTGATGTACTACGAGCCTGCTGCTTAATGTTCCTACATGATTTTAAAAACCTAAATGCTGTAATGTTTCCGTGATGGCTAAAAAAAAAAAGGAATCTGTTATCGATTATAAAACGACGATGTAATGCCACTTTCTGAGAGGCCTTGAGTTGTTTTCCTTCATCGGAAGCAGTATTGCTATGGTTGTCAGCGTTTAACTTCCCGAACTGATTATTTCATGAATGCTTTAGTAAAAACCATGCAAATCCTAATTTACCCTTCGTTAAGTGTAAGATGAAAAGTTCAGGATGAAGACAAGTTTCACCACAATATTCTGTATTTCTAGTCTTGTATTTCCTTGATTGTTAATTCCATATTATACATATGCACGTACTTACTTCGTTTCAAGGCGCCAATAAAACACATTTAACGAAAGATGAGTCGTAATCGATAGAAAATAAGTCCACAGGAGCTTTACTCGAACAGTTTGGTCTCTACGTAATTGCAAAAAATAGCACGATTTAATTTATCGCCTGCCTAAATAAAGTACTCTCTACGTCGTTGAAAACGCGAATGAGACCAGTCGACAGTTAAAAGACAACTATCTGATAACAACCGAATGGTAAACAGGGCCTTAAAAGCGACGCTGAATAAGTTCCCTGAAAAATGCAAGCCTCTTTAACTTAGGCAAAACCCCATCTCTTGAAGCTTTTTTTGAAACAATTTCACTCTTCTTTACTGGAACTTTTTCTTGAATTTATGTTCAGTTCTTCGCCTCAGATACAAAACAAATAGGTAACGACTGTTGAAAAAAGTTCGTCCATGCATAAGTTCTAAAGATTGTTTGACAGTTTTCAAATTAAACCATCCGTGCATTAAGATTAATACAATTGCATATGTAAGCAATAGAGACTTAATGACTAGAAATGTGAATCACACAATTTTTCCGACGTTTTACTAAGCTGTTTTTCAGTGGCATATCACACCTAATGAGAACTTAAACAATTTCAAGTGTAACTTGAATTCAAAATTCGAGCAACTTGCGCCGAAGAATTAGACAAGCTGGAAAAATATAGGAGATGATTTATTAATGAAGTCATTTGGTGTCTTATAGAAAGACATAAACAGCTTCTGGTATCTGTCTTGTCTGTCATCTTGAACAAAACATTTACTATGTTAAATAATGGGGGAAAATGTACTGTTTATTCTGGTAAAAGTGCGCCTAAAATATGTTTTAAAACTCCTACGGAGTGCGTGAAGCCGGCTAAATGTTTCATCGTGCACAAATTGTCGGGATGATTTTATCATGAGGACGGAAAACGTTGTGCTTTTTGTCTAACTTGTGGTGACAAAGCCGTAGGAAGAAAAATGAACGATTTTACAAGAATAGCAACTTTTCAAATAATTTCGAGCCATTATTACGTGTTGATTTAACGTTGCGTGAGACAAGACAGACGACAATTCAATAAACTATGAGTAATATGAAAAGGACGTAAGCAAATTTCAAGATAGTGTGTATGGCGAAAAAAAAATAGTCATAAATTTACATACATTTATTTGAACTACAATGTCGACGACTCATTAAAAACTGTCATGTTAAAAATATTTATCAACAAATTTTTAGTATTTGGCATATCAGCGTAAATTTACATCGCATTTTGTTTAATCTGTTTGTCCTCATTGTCAACTTAAATTTGTATTGTAGCTCTGAAGCCCTTGAGGTTTGAGCAGATCGTTTGTATTGCGTTTTCTTGACGTCCGTGAATTATGGTCATCGTGGCTTTCGCGCAAGGTGGAGCTGTACAAATATTCATAGTAAATTCCGACACGAATCGTCAGTATTTGCTCAAAGACTTCCTCGAGGCCAGAGCAAGTTTTCAAACTAAAATTACGTGACAGGTTGATGAAAGTCCTTTTTAAATTAGAGAACTAACTTTCAAAACCACAAACAAGTGCAACATTTCCTAAAGCAAAAAGGAAAAAACTCAATTGAAATCCTATCGTGATAATTTAACGTTGAGGCGCTTTGAAAATACTAGACAAAATTAAAAACAGGTGGTAATTAAGTATTAACAACTGAGTTGAAAATGTAAATTGGCCACCGTAAAGAGTAAAAAAGCTGACGTTTCGAGTGTTAGCCCTTCTTCGCCACATCTTAAAGCGATGAAAAAAATCACACCTTCGTTGGATGCCACGCCCAAGGTAAAAGACAAAAGGAACAAATAAAAAGTGATAACAAACGCGCTCTGCCAAAACCTCGAAAAACTTGCTTTTAGCAGTATTTCATTCTAAAAACATTTCTAGAATTCAGTTTTGACAGTTTTTAGAAAATTCTTGTACGAGCAAGATCTGCTTTTCCTTTTTTAAAAGTAGAACGGTCACTTCAACTTCAAGCAGTCTCAAAGTACCTAAATGAAGGAATCCTCTTCTTAGGTAGACTTGTTGGTTCCAGAAAGTCAGCACCTCATTAGAAAACAGCTGTGCGCCAGCGCCTGCTCTCTGCGAAAAATTTGGAGAAGCTGTTGACAGCTCCTTACTTTTAACAAAGATTGTTAAAATCCGCTGTAAAACTGGTAGTAATGCAATGAGAGAGACTTACTTTTAAGCAGGACCTGCTTTTTTTGTAAATTATAAATAAATAAAACTCGCACCTTCTTCATTGTGAGACTTGTGAGAGAAAAAATATGACACCCTCATCTTGCCACGCGTTTGATTGAAAACGAAAATAACTCAAATACATGCTCTCGCAAAAACTAGAAATCATTGCTTTGATCAGTATATCTTGTATCATCAACATAGTTACACGAATTCGGCGCCTTTGCAAAAAAGGATCCTCGTGTTTGGTAAACATGCTGGTTCTAAAAACGATGAATGCCTCGTTTGAAAACAGCTGTGCGCCAGAAACAAGGTCTTCAATCGCCTCGAGGCTCTCCACAGAAAACCATCACTTTCGATTGCATTTAACATCAGTAGTAAGACCAAAAAATATATTTGTACGTTGAAAAAACTGACTGGTAAAAACCAGGCGACTTGACTTACATATAGAGAGAGGTGGTTTAAATGAGTCACTGCAATACGGATAAATCTAATTATTTCTGAATTTGCGAACCTTTGGCTCAATGCGCTAAACGAGGGTCAAGTCTACCCCTGGGTACACCGATGGAGATTGATTTTACTAGTTCATATTTACACCACCCACTCCCCAAGTGCAGCAAAATTGCCACTCCGATAATTTTCTCGATCAGTTACAAGCTTTTCCGCCTCCCTTCGGCCAAAGTCCCTCAGGACTACCAATTACTCAGGACTTTTGTTTGGAAAAGTTGACCCGGAACAATGGGCCATTTCTTGATACGAAGATGCGCTATTATACACTGTAGGCAGTGAAGACAACAACAACCCACCTCAGTGTATTTTAGATATTGTAACGGTGGTTCAGGATGGTGAGAAATTCATTCTATGCCGAAACGAGGAGCAACGCCTAAAAAAATTGGCTAACGGCTCTGACGAGGCTGATTATGATAGCAGTAGTGAGGACGACAGTGATGGCGACAAAAGTGAAGACGATGATGACCAACCGACTCGTTTCTAAGCTGGACGCAGTAGATCTGGCAGGAGGGTGACACGATTTGTGCTTTAACAAGCTCAGAACAATTCCAGGGCCTTTCCGGAGTCAAATTTTCACACACGTTGTACATTTTCTCGATAGATATTTTTCAATAGATTTTTTTCAGATGTCTAGAAAACGGATTAACAAATAGCACAGATACTGCAAATAGATGATAACAAAAACTTGTATCATAAACTGACTAGGTCGCATGCTCATGAAATTTTAAAGTTTATAGCATCACCAGACGGTTTTTCTTTTTCAAACGAATGTCGAGGGAGGTCGCTGCGATAAATACGTTTTATTCTAATTTTCGTTACAGAAAGTTTATTAAAGTTTATGAGGCTAATATCAACGTCAATTTCAAGCAGTCTGCTTTTTCAAGCGGATAGATTCGAAAGTTATCAGATTTTTAGGAAAAATTTGTTTCTTCGTGTTTCCTGTATAAAACGTTTAGAATTTGTATAGTATTGCACTAGTTAGTGTGTTTTGAATTAAGTGAAATTCACCTGATAGTTAAATTTGAGAAAAATCAAGATTGTTAACACGTGTCAACGAAGTGACGGATCCTTCAACGATGATTGCCAAAGGTAATATTCTACAATGATAAAAACGAACAAAAGAAGTGGGAACCGAGATAATTCAGGTAGGACTCTAATACTTTGGACCACCATAATATAGTGAAAGAAATGTGAAGTAGCTCATTTTTATTTTAGTCTAATGTCGCATTGGAGAATTGGTAAAAAATGATTACCAGACAAAGTTATGGATAGAAAATACACTGGGATCAACAAAATTTTGTGGGATCAGGGATCAAAATTTTCATCACTTTTGGGATCAGGGATTAAAAATTTGCGTAAAAATACGGGATCAGCGACGAAAAAATATACCTCGTTACGACCCTGGGTTGATGGTTAATTTTTTTCAGTGGATTTTTACAGTTGACAGTTAATTTTTAACACCTCTGACGGTTGACGGTTAAATTTCAGAGCCTTTGATGGTTGACAGTTATAAGAAGATGATTTCCCTGAATGTTAAATTAGCATCTTGCGCACCTTTAGGATTTCCTTTCTTTAAAATGTTTCGTAAGAATCTCGCACACTTCTAGGATTCTCATTCATTCGATTGGAATTTTAGTGTTTCCCCTACTTTTAGCACTTTTAGCACTTTTAGCACTTTTAGCACGGGTTAACGATAAAAACGCCGTTGATCTCCAAGGAATCACTAATATGCTGGCAAAAACTCCCATTGAGGAGTTGAACAATAAAATCTATCGGCAGATTTCATGACACTCGAAATGATCTGAGCGGGATCTCAGTTCTTGTCGAAAGGCAGTAGTTGTGCGTAGTTCAGTGTACAAAGACAAGTATTGACTTATTAGCTTATTTATTAAAATGTTTTCAAACTGCCGGTTTTATAGGAGAAAATGACGATGAGAGTGAGAGGGCTCCTAAAACAGATAGGATTGTTTTCTTTACTCTACGGTTCTATGAAAAGATGTAAAGACCAAAAGTGTTCGTCAATGAATCAAAAAACAGTTGGGAACAATTCACAATATTTTGCTGAGTGCGAAGAACGAGAACCACCTAATCGCTGCGTAACTGATTTTGAGGTTAAAGAAATATGCTTCACTTTGGACCGTTAATTTATTATGAAAATTATCTTTGTGGATTAATTTGTAACATTATTCTCAGCTTTGTTTCAGGTTTAAACCACAGTAAAACGACGGTTAAAGCTTTCGATCACTCAGTGAGTGGCAATGAGTGGCATGGTGGCAGTAAATAATTCTTCTATTGCAGGTACGTTTTCATGTCTTATTAGTCTGAAGATATTTGTTTTGGCACGTTTTGGATAAACAAGAATTCTTAATGTTACCATGGTTGCCTCTGCGTGAGTTGAAGTCAACAGAAGTGACGTGTTTTTGCGACACGTGCGCAAAGCCATCTGGTACAAACCGCATGGTATTAGTAGGACATTCAGATAAGTAGGCGTGAGTTATACGAAGCGCCTCACCCGAGCAAAGAGTCATCCAAGTAAGAAATCACAGATGCCTGTCTGCCCTCACGCGCTGCTACTGAGGAACTCTCTTACATCGGATGAGAGGTTTTCTCCTACAAATGAGGAGAAAAACCCCCCTTTTGGACAAAAGGGGGGAGGAAACTGGGGAAGGATCTATTCCCGCTTTCCTCTTTTATTGGACAGCTTCATTATTTAGGATTGGCTAGGGTTAAGTTAGCTTCTTATCACATTATCTGTCATAATAATATAGGAAATCTCAAAATAAAAGGCGATGTATTCCCCTTTTCTTTCCTCAGGTGTGGCAAACTTAAATTCATTAGTTGTCAACAGTTACTTTCCTGCGAGCGGTGCTGTATGGATAACTATGGCATATGTGGTTATATTCGTCTTCGGCTTCTTTGGTAACATCTGTATCATTTACATTGTGGTTTCTCGTAAACAGATGAGGACTAAATTCAATTTCTTAATTGTAAATATGGCAGTTGGAGATCTACTTGTTTCTCTTTTCGTTATGCCGTTCGAGGTGAGTAACAATTTTTCAATTGTTAAGGGTTAATTCATTGTTTAGTTTCGTTATGCAAAACGTTCTCACTCACTCCCAGTAGTATAACACATTTTTTATTTCCCACGCTATTAGGTCGTGTTGTCAATGGAATACCTATCTTTAGTACCTACCTGTCTTTGTAGGTGAAATATCTTTACATTGGCCTGGCATGGATTCCAGGGGCAATGGGAAAAGTCACGTGCAAGCTTGTTGGGTTCCTGGGGATCTTGTCAGTCGCTGTCAGCATCATAACACTTGTCTTCATTACAGTGGATCGTTACTTCGCCATTCTTCATCCACTTCGAGATATGAGTTTCATTCGAAACACAAAACTAGTCACTTCTGTGATATGGATCTCGTCTTCCCTGTTTTTCTTGCTGTATCTCTTGCTTTATGACGTTGTAAAGAGTGCTGACGGCTTTCAATGGAAATGCAGAATGGTTTGGAATTTATTTTCCTCAGACATAAGTGTCCAGGTTTCTATCGCCAGAGCCTATTTCATGACCATATTCTTGATACTGTATTTGGTTCCTCTTGTTGTCATAGCATGGGTTCATATTCTTATTGGTCGACATGTTTGTTCACGCCAGATCCCAGGGGAGCCGACAGCCCATCAGCGACATCAAAATGAACTGTCCAAGCGCAAGGTACTACGCATGATCATCATCGTGGTGGTGACGTTTGCGCTGTGTTGGTTGCCAGCTCACATCCAGCATTTACTGTTTTCCTATTTTACCAACACTTATAGAGCTTTGCTCAAAGTTAAACATCTGGAATCCAGTTTATATTTTCTAGCACACGCCAATAGTGCCATAAATCCTTGTTTGTTTATTGGTTTAAACCAAAGATTCAACAATGAGTTCAGGGGAATTCTCAGATGTCTTTTTTGCCGAAATCCCGTTCCCACGAGAAGAAGCATTGGCACAGAGCCACCCGTTGTTCTAACTCGCATACGAAAGACTGTACGTCAATGTGGTAACACTGTTATCCCTCTTCGCAATCAACAGCGTCCACGGTCTCAGAGCTATATGTTTTGAATCTTCAATTTTTTGCCACGAGTTAGATAATACGATAAAAACCTATCAAAACCATTAAGATTGATATTTTAGAAATTTAACCATGGCTGATCTGTTCTCAGTAGTGCTTGTATTGTTCTATAAACGAAAGAAAAAGCGTCATATCTGATAAGCCAAACTAGGGAAAAAATTGCATAGAAAAATTTCATAATATATGCGAAAAGCTTCATTTACTTGGTAGGACGTTAGACCACGTTCGACCAGTGTGTTTTGCGCGCAGTTGTTCTTGTTATTATACGGGAACTCATTACTGTTTCTCAGAAACAGTGCTTACTAAAGTGGCCGTAGTGTTTGTCAGTATTTCCATGCTAAAAATAGAACAAGGTATTATCAACCAAAGCACAACTAAACCGCCAGTTTGGAAGAGGTATAATGACTACGTTTCTGTCTGTGGAAAGCAACCAAAGACTTTGACTGTGTCACAATAAAATTTATTTGATCCTCCCCTCCCTCTACGGCCCTGTAGTATTCTACTGATTCCCCCTTATTGGCAGTCAATCAACGATAGTCTCCCCTTTATATTCTGTTAGCGACCACCGATATCCCCTGTGTTCCCCCAGAAATCCACGTGATCCCCCCAAGTCCTCTAACTCCCCTCCCCCTACGTTTGTGAGAATGTATGAAATGAATCTAATCTAATCTTATTTTATAAACCACTGCGTGAATGATGTCGTAGTTCTTTCGTGTTTTAATGTTACAAGGTGTCAAACACTGAAAATCAAGCTTGTACTCATTCCTTAATCTGCGAACAAAGTCAATGATAGTGCTAAACGATAAAAATGGGACTATATTTAATCTGAAATATCGTAAGGGTTTCCTTATATTGGTGTCGGGAAAAGGATGGGGAAATATTATATTACTTTAAACCATTCCTGCAGGGGATTATAAAAAGGCAGGTTGATTACTTCTTATTCCTTTTGGAAGCCTTATCTTAAAGGTAGAGTTTGGTTACGTTTTCCTCGTTATGATAGTGAAGTTGACATAGAAACAGTTGCTCAGTTTCTACGGTAATTAGAACTTGTGATAGTGTCTTGGGAAAGTTATGTTATTAATTAAGTTAATTTGTTAGTTCAGGAAGAGTGAATCTCTCTGGTAAAAGGTCACGTTCGACACCTCTCGTTCTTAAAGGTGTAAACGTGTGATACCTGCATGTTTTGCAATTAGAAAGTTATTACGACTAGCACGTAGCAACTTGGGGGCGGTACTTGTGAACGCCCCTTCTTTTCCAACTTTTGTAATCATGATGTTGTTATGTAACGGTCTTCTAAGGAAATTTTCTCTTAAGATACCCCTTTAGATGTGAATAATATTCCGTCAATAGGATAGTTATGATTTTTATATTACCAATCTCGTTTCTGTTCTGGCCGATCTCAACTGTAAGAATAAGAAATTTAAGGTAGAAGATAATTTTTTAACTGCGCAAATAACTCGAAGGCGCATACCTAGTAAGCAGAAACTGTCATACGTCATCTAACGTGATTCGCCGGCTGAGATGGAACGATGACGATACAAGAAGATTGACAGCTTAATAGTGTCATCTGCAGTGTCACTTTTATAAACGGTGACCCTCGCTTTTCCCATTAGATAGGAGTTAGTCCCCGTTGTTACAACTTGAGAAGAAAAGAGATTACAGAAGAATCAACCAAACCAACAACGAGTGTTAGAGAATTTACTTCTAACAGTAGTTGTTTATCTAATATTAAACAACGCATCTTTTCAATAGAAACTTAGTAACGGAATATATTTCCGATTCCGTTTTATTTTTTGGAGCCTTACACACACCAGATCTTCGTGCAACACTTAGATATTTTCTGTAGAGATTGGACAGTAGTAGAAAGTTGCCTTTTTTTCTACCTTTTTTTTTCTTTATCATAAACGTGTAAATGAACGTTCACTCTTCTATGAACCTCGCATATCCGGTCAAACATACCCCATAAAATTTCAACTTTCAGTTACTCCTATAGCCTGAAAAAACAATCTATGGCCTATTTCAAATCTTTACCAATGGGACCTCTGTTTCTACATGCGCTAAAGGCTATACAACTGGTAATACAGTCAATAATAACTAACCCAGTGCTCATGTTGATTGTCAACTGAATAGGAGAATCACGGCAGTGGCCATAACAGACATCATCGCGACCTGATTAACTCACGGCCGTTAGTTAAGGCGAGTACGAGTGTGCTCTAACGTACAAACAAACAATACGCGTGGGCCGCACGCAAGATAGTTAAAGATATCTTTTAGAACAATGTTTGATTTAAAAAAAAACTGCAAAATTAATCGTATTTTCCGTAAAAGGGGAACATCGAAGCTTATTAAAACAAATCAATTAAGAGAAAAAGATATGCTTTTAACTGACATCATAACGATTGCAACCCTACGCGCACACCCCTTTCTTCCTCAAAACCACCCTAAAACGCAACCAAACTAAATCAAGACTCCAGGAAAAATACTGCTCGAAGCTAACCCTGAAGTTTGTACTTCGCGATGGCGACTTACTTAGTTGTTCTTAGTGGTTCTAACGAGGCGATCGCGATAGATGATTAAATACGAATTTTAAAAGAAGCAGTATCCCTAACAGTGGTGCGTTGCATTGCTGTTCGAACAACCAACTTCTTTCAAACTTTGCCCATAAATCTGTCAGAATCACAAGGTAATGTAGACCACCTTAGTTTTTGAAAATTTTTCAAGATAAATTTTTTCTAAGCGAAAATCGCTTCAGCCCTTAAAGGCCTATTGTTAACAGCGCCGACCTTAAGCAATGAAATAAATTCAAAATTCCCATGAAGGCAATGCAGTTCTTGAGTAAAGCTCTAATAAACAATTATTTTCATCTTTTCAAATTTTTAATGATTCTGGGCAGACTACTGTACTGTAAGTGGATGCCAGATGAAGTAGGGGCTGCGCACTTTTCAAAGCTTTTAGTCATGGAACCACGACAGCGCAATGAAGGCCAAGGAACCTTGTACGATTCGTTAAATATTTTCAAGAACAGTTGTCACAATTGATTTTCAATCAGCAAATACTTAATAGCATTTGAAAGTAGTATTAGCAGTAGCAGTTTTGTTTTTTAAATCTATCTTTGGGCTGTATGTAAATATGATGAAATTTGAAGGTGTGGAAGGTACAGGTACATGTTCCCGATTATTTTTCATTATTTTCATCGTAAATACTTTCGTTTTCATTTTCATCTCCATTTCAACGATCTCCATTTTCTTTCTCATTCCCTTTATAATTATTTATTACAATTGAATAAAAAGGCAAAGATTCAGAGGGGGATATTTATATAGAGAGTGCAGTAAATATCAGCTCCTCGCCGCGGAGGAAGTTTTGTCGAAGCCATTTCTTTCTTGGCTGAAAAAAACTGCCTCACTGTTTCACTCATCGACTCTACGTGTGTTTGTTTTTGTCGGAAGACGGTGCTTTCTGTTTTTTTATTTTTTTAATTGGTTATCTGTTCATTTCCGGAAATACAGTGACGCGCAACTAACCAAGGGATCAGGCTGCCAGGGGATGGTTTGCTTTTAACAGCCTCTTTGAGAAGGCGTCTTCGTCGCTATTACGGACACCACCCCATTAGGGGACAAAAGCCAGACCCCCGGCGAAACGCACAAAGAAATAGCTGAAATAACTCCCGTCTTTACGGACTCCCGCTATTACGAAAATCTCGCTTCGTCCAAACTCCAGACTCACATGATATGAAGCAACACCATGATAAAGGAAAATAAAGAACCCATTTTTCAATTGGGTGCGAACTTGAGAATTTCCTGCTCGCAGCCGGATCTTTTTCTGGGTCGTGAAGCCACGTTAGAAACTTAATGTTGGGTTATTTCATATGTTTGGAGACAAACCAATATTTTTCTCTCGCGTACCCCGCCATTTCGGACCCTCGCTCAAGGACACTAAATCTCCCCCCCCACCCACCCCCCCGAGGGTGTCCGCAATAACGTTAGTCGACGGTACTATTAAATCCATTAACCAGGCTTGCTTTTAACAATCAATTATCAGCATGAAAAGTCAGCCATTCAAGCCGGATACAGCTTCAAGTGTACTGAAGGTTTTTCAAAAAGAAACTTTTACAGTGTAGTATGGTGTTAAACTCCTTTCAATACAAAGAAAGAAGACGGTAAAGAGTATTGAAAAACTTGTGCAGTTCATCCAAAACGTCTTTCCAGGTAACGTAATATTATTAATAGCTGGCATATCTTGCGTTGCTAAAATAATGAATTCACTTTCCTCTTGTAACTGCATTGTAACAGACAAATCAAACTTTCGAGACTTCGGTTGCTTCTCGCAACTTCGCTCCATATCATGATATGATAGACGACAACGAGGGGCTTTTCTTTAAAATAGATCTTGATTGTGTCATTCCTTAGTCTGTCCACCGCTGTATGTTTTGTTTCAGTCAACTAAGTGAGAAACCCAAAGTGAGCGCGCGATGGTCTGAAATAAAACAGAAGTCCGTGAACTTATTAGTCGGGCTTCTGATAATTAATACCATGAGAGTCGCACGAACATATGAAACATGTTTTTAAATCCAGGGATATGTCATACACCGCTTTCAATTCTATTTCTTTGTTATATCTAGTTAACTACGAAAGAAGCAAGTCAGTGAGTGAATTTTTACATTCTCGGTTGCGCCAAAGGCCATTCTTTGTAAGCGAAACTGCATGGGTTAAAAACCCTGAGGCTCTATTACCATCACAAGTATCGCTTGCATTACCACATTTTCATCTTTCTCTGAACCTCTATCAACACTAGTTGCACTCTTCGTGACGTTTTGTTTCAGACCATTTCTGCACTTGTGATAACATTTGATCTCAAGCGAGCAGTTTTCCTCGCAAGAAGAGTGGAACATCTTTAACTTCGAAAGGGAAACAACATGGCTTCCCCATAATCGTGGTCCAGATTACGCAGAAAATTTTATGAATGCGCATTAAATCATATTTTTTTTAAGCAATTTCTTCTTTTATGCGCAGTAACTTCATCACTGCAGCAAATGTTTACAATTGCGACAACTTTTATTTTCGCAGCAACTTTTATAATTTGCAAAAGGTTTTCGTTAATTTGTAGCGCCTAAAAAACTGCCACAAGTTTCAAGGTGCAACAAATTTC